TTTCTTTCTTTCTTTCTTTCTTTCTTTTTCCCCAGATGGAATTTCTGTAAGATAAATTCAATTTTGCAGAACATTGCAGTACTCATGCAACTCTGTTTTCCAGAAAAATCTATTTCTCCCAAAAGATTTGTTCAACATTATTCCTAATTCTTACCTTCCCTCACTTCAGGAACTTGCCCTGTGGTCTTGTGGATAATAGCTCATTTAAAGTAACAGCATTACAGGGATGAAATATGTCTTTAATAGARAGGGTCAAATAAAGCTTCTTGCATCATAACACCTTTCAGGCTATAGTAAGTAGTGCAAACTAAGACAAGAAACAGAGATTTGACTAGGTTTACTCTAAACTAAAAACAATATAGGCACTTAATATGACATTTCAGCCTGGCAGATCAACATTGAGCTAAAAAGCTAGACTTTTTTAGGAGTCAGAATTAGTTCAGGTATTTCTGTACAGCATTGCACAATGCCACAGAAAGACAGACAACCCTGGAGCTTCAGATTGAGACAAAAAGGAAGTCAGTTCTTATGTGGGCTGAAATATTGACGTGAGTGCTCTAAGATGGCTACTTGCAGATGGATAGCAGCCAGAGGACTTCCATGTTTGCTGCCTGCTGCAGGACATAGGGGCAGTCAGCTTGAGGGTCTCAGCAAGGCAGGAGAGGAGGCATAAAAAGTTGTTACAGAGCAGCAGCCTTCAAGACACTAGTCGTGGTTAGAAGATGGTGAGCAATGGTTTCAGCTTGTGGTTTTCCTTGGTTCATAAAGATGGTCCACCAGTGAACAGGAAGGAAGAGAAAACTGTTTTTCTCATATCTTCTCTACTTAAACATGCTGATTTTAGAGCCTTCTGCTGAGCAATGAAGGCTATGGAATCTGGAGGCCGCTGGTCAAAGTCCCAGGAAGTGGAAAGTCCAGATTCACTCACAGTCCAAGTAATACCACTTGCCTCCAAAACAACAGCAGCTGTTTGACCTCTTCTTGTGAGGAATGATCTGAGGAACCTAACACCTCAGACCTTCTCGCCTTTTCTTTACCTCATCCTCTTCCATTATACTATGGGCAGTTCTAAGCCTCACATACATACACAAGAAGGGCTAAGCTGAGGGATATTTGTTACCCTTGACACATTGGTGCAGTTAAAATATACTCTGTTCATATCTCCTCAGTTTTGGAGACTAACAGTCTTAGTGAAAAACAGTCTTCACTAACAGCCTTAGTGGAAAAAAAACCCATCATCCCTGTTCTAGCTCCTTTGCCATGGGTAGTTGCAAATAGACCAGTAGCCAACAGAAGCTCTTGTMCCCAGCTTTCCCCTCATAGCTGGAATGAGAAAATCCTACCTTTGCAGGATCCATGTTGAACTTCTTCCGGCCTAAGGATAGAAGTTTATCCTTTTGTGATAATTTGCTGCAGACAAAAAGGAGGAGGAAATCTGAGTAGGAAACTCAGATTTAGACAGGTTTCTTACTGTCCAGGAGTAATGAGAAACCTGAGGAAAGACAGCATTCCTGGCCTAATTTCTCAGATCTTGATGTGATCCAAATCTCATTATGCTCTTGCCCCACTTGCCTGTTGTATTCCCCAGGGATTAGGTCTACCTCTCACCTCTCCTCTGCATTTTGGAAGCGCTCTATCTCTGCAAACACTTCAGCGATCTCTTCTTTCAGCTTCTGCAGGAGAAAGAGCAAGGAGATAAGGGAGATGGAGAAAAAGGCAGGAAACACATACAGAGCAGATCTTACTTCTACCCTCAGCTGAGGGAGAAGCCCTGGTGATACAGGTCAGCTAAATTCCTTGCTCTATGGATCAAGAAGCAGCTAAAGTTTTCTGTTAAGTGGGTACTACTCTGAAGTGACCCTGCCTATCCAAAATGGGTTCCAGATGAAAGAAATGAGTGAGAGAAGTGAAAAGGAGTTCTCAGATCTGTTGTCATCTGGGGCTAGAAAATCATGCTTATTCAACATGGAAGAGTGAGAGAACTCAGTCCAGTGTTATTTCAGCTCCTCAAAAGATGTCACATCCTTCCATCACACTCATTTTCTTGTGGCTTTTGGAACCACTACCTTGCAGGCTGAGATAGACTTGAAGTGGCCAAGTTATAAGATATACTGTTTTTAACACCCTATAAATCAAATGCCTGTGAGTAGATATCAGTCTTTAAGTAGTGAAAAAGGATGAGAAGGAAGAGAAATCATTGTCTGAGTTTGAATCTTAGCTGTAGTATTCAGCTTCGTTTTGGTCCATGACAGCCTGTGGCCTTCCTGGTTGAATTTTCTGGGTTATCAAGATCACTATGATCTCCTTGTTTCCATCCTGCAGTTCTGAATTGCTGTCTAGGAGCCACAGTGCATCACAGGTCTTTTCCAAGATTTACTCAATATACATTCCCGATATTACATCTCAGACATTTCATCAACAAGGATTGAGAATGTGTTCATGCACAGGTATGCACCTAGATATAGGAACTGTGTTCAGGAAGTTATCTGACATTCTAATTACTAATTTAAAAGAGCAACTGAATCCTGATTTGCTTTCTGCTTTCCTTCTGTCTTGATTAATCAGTCTGCCAAAACTGGGGATGTTCCCTAATAAGTTTTGGTAGTGCACAAATGCAACAAAGCCATGATCRTAGCTCCTAAATTACAAATGATTATCACAATTTTGTTATTTTCCTCATTACTGTCTTTTGTCAATTTAATGGGCAAATTTAAACCCATCCTACTTACTCTCTCCCTCTTTCCCTTTCTCTTTTCTCCCACTTCTCCATCCCTCCCAAGCCACCCCTCGAGGTCTTTGTGTTAAAGGATATTGCTAGTACTCTTCCACCTAAACTTATCCTTCTCCACTCAGCAATGGATACCTCGTCGATCTATGGCTTTCACATTTAGGATACATTTCTGTGTAGCCTAGCATCTTTTCTCCTGACATGCCAAGTAAAAACAAATAGTTTTCCTAGTCACATATCCTTCTTCCTACACTTTCAGTTCATGCTGGAAACTGAATAGGTAACAATCAAAGTCTATTTTACAAGATGGGACAAGACACCATTCTGATTTTGCAGCAAAGATGTTATGTCTGGAAGCCTGAGAAAAAATTGCCATTTGGCTCGATGTTCTGTCCTATGCAAGGAAATACTGCACACATTCACCAGGCATCTGAATATCTTTATGCTGTCAGAATATCAGTGTAGGTCCAATGATTCAGTTCAATAAGCTCTCTTAGTTGGAAGTCGACAAGCCATGGTGATTTAATTCAATATAAAAACTCTGTAGCATCATGTATACACGTCATTTGCTATTACTGGGTGATTCTATTTCACTTACAGACTTTTGGGGTATCAGTAGAATAAATCTATAGCTCTGCTAAAAGCAAAGAAGAAAACCAAGTTCAACCATGGAAACTTGTGTGGAAAGTCATGACAATGCACCTTTCTAAAGAGACAAGATCCTTCATAGAGGACTTGTTAGAGATCCACAAAGCAAATAAAAGTTTGAAACGGGAGAGATGCAAGAAGTAATTAGGAAAATGTCATTACTGGGTAATGAATAATTAGAATAATCATAAATGCTGAGYCAGACCTCTTCTAGTATGACTTAGTGAAGGTTTCTTAATATGAGATCCTAGCTCATCCCTGCTAATGAGTGGAGAAGCCATTCRTAAATGCCCTATTATGACAGTTGTGAGTACTGTAGCAAAGGTCCAGAAACTGGATGAACACTAGTGACACACATACTGTGTGGGCAGCCTGAACCTCAGAAGTCAAACTAGATCATGCCAAAGCAAATATCACCTGTACAAGACTGGACTGTTATGTGAAGCAATTCCCTGGTGAAAACATTTTTGAGAAGGCTAAGCAGAGAGGAGAAACAAACGGTCCTTACCTTAATATCCTCCAAAAGCTCCTCTCTGTGCTGCCTGATTGTCTCTATTTCAGCTTCTTCAGCCTCACTCAAGTCAGATGACTCTGGAAGAAACAAGAGGTGCATTTGAGGATGGTACTGATGCCATCATATCAAGGCAAAGTTGCCTCAGCTTCACTGTGCTCATCATCTCCTTTTCTTAGCATCCTGCCATAGTACCTTTTGTACCCATGTTCCAGCCTTCTTTGCTCCTGCTGCACCTCAGATCTGTCCTGCAAATGATTCTCAGTCCAAAGCCAGCAACACAGCCCAGCATGCCCCTCCTGGCTGGCAGCCTCTTTGCTAATAGCCCTCTGATCTAACTGTGCAGCAACCTACCCTGCCTACTCAAGCAATTTTACTCATTGTGACCACAGTGAAGAGGTCTCATCAGATGCTACTCAGTGGTTTTTATGTCAGTCACCTTTAATACCAGGGCTGTGGCACAGGAAATCTGTGACCTAAATACTCCATCTAAATTGAACCTCCTATGAAGAGCCACTGGATTAATTAATTGATCTATCACAGTTAAGAGATAGAAATGGCTTATGAGGGAATCACGATTTTTCAAGCCTGAGATCAAGAACTTGGGGGATGAAAGCACTGCTGAAGAAGGGCTGTCTGTGGGAGGTTGTTGTTCTGCTCTCCTCCCCCACTGTGGACTACAGGCAGTGCAGAAATACTAGCAGGCTTCCTTGTAATGCACAGGAAGTCAAACACAGAGCAGCCAAGGAGACCACAGAATGATTCATAAAAGACCTTGAAGAATCAGGGTGACAGCACAGCTACTAAATATAATCCAGCTGGAGTGCAGCATCTTCAGCAAAATGAAAGAGCAGGCTGTAGCCAGAGAAAGGCAAAGCAGATGGTGAGCCCCAGGAAAAACGGGGTTCACACAAAGCCAAGAGTAGTGGAGCCCCTGGGAGCTCCCTGCAGAATTCACAGTCAGGGTCCTTGCTGTACCCAAACACTGAAAGACAAAGCTTCCCCAGCAAGTCAGGTCAGGTCATTGGACATGCTGCTGCACTACTTCATAAGCTAAAATCCCCTGGGCCTCCCATCTTCCTGGAAAAAAGGGGAAGTGGTGCAAGCTACCTTGGAAATTCTCTTAGTGTGAATCTCACATGCAAAACAACTGCTATAAATATGAGTGGGAAGAGGGGAAGGAGTCAGTCATGACAGACAAGAGGAAGGGGGACATAAGCATTCATCTTGGAGCTCACATTTCTTTCCTGCCATATCCACAACAGCTCAGTGATGTGTCTTCCCTAATCCTAATCTTTTCCAAATCCTGTCTGGTTGGGCTTCCAGGTCCTAACTCTATGCTTGCACTTTTCTCAGACTGCAGTCTCTCCAGACACTTCTATGGATGTTTTCAAACACTGCATCAAATCCCAAGGTGAAGCTCTCACACCTTTGGTGGGAAAGTACTGGGCAAATAGATACTGTGAAGTTTGGACYGGAAGGGTTCCTATCCCCTTCTAGCTGTGGAATGATCCTGCATGAAATGCTGAAAGAGGCTGACTGCTGCTAAAGCTGATCAAGAAGGAAGGAAAACCTGTGACATCCAGTAGCTTGCAACAGTCAAATCTGTGGGTCAGAAATTGAAAAATTTTGTTTGAATAAACAAAACACATGCAGTGACTTTGTTTCTTGTTGGACAGGTTGCTGACTTCCCCTTGAATGTCACCCTGGCCTGTGAGCAGTGTTCAAGAAAACCTGTGTCTTTTAACTTACTTTTATGTCACCTCCAGTTTTGGAGTCTGCAGGAGATGAGAACAGCCTCTCTATCTTTCCGTCTTTCCAGGTTTATCTCCATCACTCCATGAGGTCTGATAAATGTGGAATTACTGAAGCCATTCATTGTTAAACTGCTGTTAAAGACTCCATGGCTTGTACACAAAAATGCTGCAGTAGGATTTACCTGAGGAACCTTCTYCTGCTTCATCAGAAAATTCAATGATTTGTTGCTTTGCTTCAGTTGCTCTGTCTACTGAAGCAGCTTCAGACATCTCAAAGAGACATGAGGCTCCCAGAGGACATCATTGTCTCACCCACATGACCCTCCCTCTCGAGACTGTAAATATCTCAGTCCTGCTCCCTCCTGAACATCTGAAAACASCAAGTGATTTACCTGTCCAGCTTACCAGAATAGGGAACATAAGGRAGGGGAGACAAAGCATGTGAATAGAGAAGGGGAGGGAATCAAAGGACATGAAGAGAAAAAAAAGAATGGGTTAAGTAGAAAGGCTAGAAAATGCATTAATCAGATTTTCAGAGCAATTTAGGTACCCAGAGGTGCAGGGAATCTCCTTATGAGGTTTTATAATTGGCCTAACCACCTTAAATACCTGTTGCCTTGGAAAACAACTCTGAGGTCAGTTCTTGCATGTTACTCTGCTTCTCCAAAAGAACACCTGATGTCCAGGCATTGCTCCAGGCTATTTTGAGGCTATTTGTCTATGTTACTGCGTTCACTGGGGTCTACAGTTAGGGGAAGTGAACACAGAAGTCTTGTTTGGGGAACTGTCCATAGAAAGTCACAGAAAGCAGCAGAGGGATGTGGGCAAGTAGCAGAGGAGATAATGAGAGCAAACTGCTTTGCCTTTTCTTCCTTCTCCATTTTCAGAATAACCTGATTTAGTAGGATGAGATTCTCAGTGAAGCATCAACCTGACTCACTCCAAACTCTTGGAATGGAAGAAGGAATTTGTCCCTACACGAGGAGTGGGAAAGGGGGGAGGTGGCAACCTCAAAGTCCTCTATACCACCAAGTTCCACTTCCTCTTAGGGTCARATCAGGACACAGATGATGTACAGCCCATATCAGGATACTCTACACAGGATTTTACCCACTGTTGAAGAGCACCCAATCAACACTCACAGGCCTCAAGAGGATGCTGACAGTCATACACAACTCTGAAGAATACTACACATAAGCAATGTGTTGTGATTCTGGCTAGTATCCTCTCTGAAYTGGACTTGTGACTACTTGTAAACTAATTTCCAGGTAATATGGAGGGACAGCATGTGAGCACTGTACTTGTGGGACTCACACCTGGTCTAGAGACAGTGCAGACACAGAAAGAGATGTCACTTGCTCAAGAATCACTCAGTCTTGTATTTTTTGTATTGGATATCAAAACAGAACAGAGACTTCAGTTTCAGTTGTGCTGACTGTTCAGCCCCCTAATCTAGAGAGCAGGCTGGAGCAGGCTGGGTGCTTGTGTGGCCAGCCAAGAGTAATACGGGTAGTAGGCTTGTTTTTCACTGCTATGGTCTGTGCAGAGCTATCCAGTTGCAAAGTGAGGCCTTCAGTTCCAAGAAAAAGTATACATATGAGAAAGTTGCTTTTAGAGAATAGAGGTTAAATGCGCAGTACTCACAGGAGAACTGGAAGGATGGACTGTAGAATCAGCACTGGAGGGTTATCAAGAATGACTGCAGCACTGTTATAGATCATCCATGTGCATCCATGTGCACACCTGCAGTGTAACAGCAGAGGTTCAGATGGCCAGTAAATATTTACTATTTTGGCCACAAAAGACTTTAGGCACCTCCACCCATGACAACACATAATCAGAACAAGTTGTTGGGCACCTTTTACCTGCGTAATGGAAGAAGTTCACTTGAAATTCCTTCTCTTTTTTKAATTGGTCTACAGGGCTGTGTCATCATTAGTACAGAGGTCACCCACCCTGCCACGTACCAGAGCAAGGACCTACCAGATACTCACTTCCCTCCAGCCCAATCTGTTTACATCTTGTAGCCTCTCCACAAATTTCTTTCTGCTTATTCCAGAAGATATTCAGCAGGGACCTCACACAWGTAGAAATTACTCTTTCCTGCTATGCAGGGAAAAGTAGGAAGAAGAACATAGGTTGGCTGTTGGTCCCCTGTCCCACATGACAATCTACAGCACCCAGGACAGTTTCCAGACACTTTAGCCTGGGGCTGTCAACTCCACATCCTAGCATGTGGTAGAGTGGCACAGGCCTGCTCCCTGCACCGCTGATGCCCATCTCAGTGACTTAGCATACTGGCTTTGTGGCCCTACGCAGGCAGTCATGCAAGGGTCCCAAAGGAAGCTGAGAGAGGAAGTCCACTGCAGAGCCTCCTCACAGACACAGAGCTCAACTTCACCCAGACAGAGCAGGCAAGTATCTGACAGGAACAGAGGGGCATTGTTTGTCTAGGTAGGATTYCAGGAAAAGCACAAGGAATATTTGCACCCATGTCCTTTAGAGAAGTCATGTCACAACTGAGCAACTTGAAACCCATCCAGGGCTCCAGAGTCCACTGGAAACCTTAAACTGTGGGGAGTCTTGGCTCTCAAAGTGAAGCAGTTCCAACAAGCCTACTTCCCAATGAGACTGTGAAGTGACAGATTGAGATTGAACAAAGAAACTGGTCAAAATTAGCATATTTCTTCAGGCTGTCCTGTTGCCTCTGTCTAGAGCTGAGCAAGCCCACATTGCCCCTGAGCAGGACCCCTTTGCACCACTAGGGTACAAAATTTTAATGCATAATTAACTCAGTAACACATAATTCAACTAAATGTTATGAATGTCAGTCCTTTGTTCTGACRGCCCCAGTTTTTGTGGAAAACAGACCTAAAAATAAATTCTATACTGGTCACAGAACATGAGATGTCCCCTTCCTCCCCACTTCAGTTTGTCCTGCAGCAGCTTTCTTTACTGTTGCTTTCAGGCCATAAATAATAGCTGTGCTGTGAAGACACCTACCTTCACCAATATGCATAGCCAAATTCTGGCAAGACCTCAGCTCCCACAGGTCCCACTAATTTCCATGACAGGCAAGCCTGGTATGGGATTTGATCTAGYCTGTTCCTTTGTTCTGCAGGTAGGAGCTAAGAAATGGAGAACTGTTCCTGAAACTGGGCACTGCTTCACCCTGTACTCCATATCCTATACACAGAGGCTTGCTAGGACTGAGACTCAGTGTTCTTACAAAATGAACCCTTGTCTTTCTTGATCCTGATCGGCCTGTATCCTTTCTTCTTTTGCTTTCCATTGCCTTTCCTCTCTCTCTCTCTCTCTCTCTCTCTCTCTCTCACACACACACACACACACACACACACACACACACACACCCACCCCGAGTTTCCTCAGCCAGAAGGAGGCTAGAAACAGTTTGTCCAGTAGTATCCCTTGCTGAATCCCAAACACTTTATCTAACACCTGCTAAAGTAGGAAATAAAAACTGAGATCTCTCTCAGTTCCTCAGATGTGTCTTATCTCCACCCACACCTGCTTTTTGAGATTATTTTAGGACCAGGCAGACCCACCTGCAGGTCACTTGGAAGTGCTGGAACTCTAAAATAGTCATTTATCTTAAGAGGAGGATAATCAAGAGAAGCTGCTAATACCAAAAGCCTTGTAAGCTGCAGCATTGGGAAACTCAGCTGTGTAAGATGTTCTGCAAAGGTAAAACAGCTCTTGGGACTACAGAGAAACATCAGTGAGGAGCTTCGAAACCATGCCAGAGTTGCATGAAGAAGAGTCAAAGCTAGTGGGTGCCACGTATACTCAAGCCCTCAGTTCCACAGATCTGCTCAAAATCACCAGCCCAGGGGATCATAGCAACAGGGACTTTTAGCACAAAGGCCCATTCAGATCTGTAGGAAATTTTCTCTTGACGTGAAGGGAACTTGCTCAGGGGAGAAAAGTGAAAAGAAAACTATGCTTACTACATGTGTTTGACAAGCAATTAGCTGTACCACCAGGGATCCTCTACCATCTGGTTCCTCCTGCCACCAGCCCCAGTATCCACTCTGTCTGCTGGGATTTAGTGGTGAACGATGCCCCGTCAAACTGGTTGAAGAGCCTTAACAGCAAACAAGACAAAAGATCATCATGACTTACCAGCGGGACAAAAGTCCATCCTGAAGAGCCCAGTGTATTTTCCACACGGTTTCTGTTCCTCTTTGCCCCCTGCTTGTTCAGCTTCACAAACTGAAGTGYCTCCAGACAGTGACCAAAACTGTAGCTGAATTAGAGGGGCGGGTTGCCCTGTGACTCCGCCCTTCCTCCCCTCATTCCTCGACCACATTGCATGATCTCACATCAGTGAAGGAAACTGTATGTGCATTCTGCTAGGAGCTAACAGAAGCTCTTTGACTGCTTCTGAAATGCAAACCCACAAATGCATTTCCATTGCCAGCAGTGCCCTTTTTATTTATTTATTTATTTATTTATTTATTTATTTATTTATTTATTTATTTATTTATTTATTTTTGAGGGGAGAGGGACTGTGAGTGCTTTAGAAGACTGAAATGGACAGTGAGAAACTAACAGTACTTTGGGATTCTGTTTGAGAAAGGGAGGGGAAAGGAAGTCCCTGATTCAGAAAAAAAAAAAAAAAAAAGTCTTATTTGGGAAGTGGTTTCATCTTAACAGAAATATTCTTCCTGTTTTAATTCTACAGGAGTTTGCAGGGAGGTAAGTACTTAAAAATTTGAGGGAGGTTGATTGGGGCAAACGGATAAGAAGATCTTTTTCTTTCTTCTTCTCTTTTCTCACTATCTACTGAGTGACTTAATCTGCTCCCATATTCCCATAACAAACCTTTCTCTTGGGAACCATTGTACATGAGGATGCAGTGATCCTCCCCTTTTACTGAGCTCTGGTGAGGGTGGGCCTGGATTGGGTGCCGTTCTGGGCTCCCCGGTACAGGAGGGATATGGAACTGTTGGAGAGGGTCCAGCACAGCGCAATGAAGATGATTAAGGGACTGCAGCATCTCTTGTATGAGGAAAGACTAAGTGAGCTAGGCTTGTTTAGCCTGGAGAAGATTGAGAGGGGATTGATCAATATACATAAATATCTCAGGGGAGAATGTAAAGAAGATGGGGCCAAACTCTTCTCAGTGGTGGCCAGTAACAACACAWGGGGTAATGGGTATAAATTAAAACACAGGAAGTTCCATCTCCATATAAGGAAGAACTTTATTGTGAGAGTGACAGAGTTCTGGAATAGGCTGCCCAGAGACGTTGTGGAATCTCCTTCTCTGGAGATCTTCCAAACCTGCCTGGATACCACCTTGTGCCCTGTGCTCTAGGTGTTCCTGCTGGAGCAGGGGTTTGGACTAGATGATCTCTAGAGGTCCCTTCCAACCTCAACCATTCTGTGGTTCTGTGAATGGAGGAAAAAAGAAGTCCTCTCTCAGATTTAGATGGGGCTGAAGTTATTGAGGGACAGCTCTTTTCTGTACTGCATTGGCACTTCCTACACATCCCAAGTCACAACTTGGACTCGCCTAGCTGGTGCTGCACTTACATTCTCACATTCTTATTAAGCCAGACTGGTCTGATATCTTTCACTTAAAAAAAGATGCACTTTAAAAGGTGTGAGGTGAAAAGGAGGATTTGCTTGAACTCTCTGGGAAAGGTCCAATGCTCTAGGTTCACTTCACTTGATAGAGAAAACTACGCACAGAATTTTCCCTCTCTTCTCAGTTTCCTTACATTTCTTACATTTCCTGTTACCCATGGCTATGCCCGAGGTTCATTGTTGTTACTGAAGTGGGCAAGCACTCTAATGAACCTCCAGTGGAAACAGGCAGATATACTAACCTTAAAAGCATTGTGCCAAAGGCTGACAGAAATCCGGAATGTATGCTAGTAGGTTACTGTGGGCAGGATCATAAATAACCCATGATCTTTAYGAAGAGTCAGTGACAGACATTCACCACTTGCTTTCCATGGTCAGGGCCAATTAATTTAGAGAAGCTGGAAACTTACTTGGTGGGGAGGGGGAGGAGAACAGGGAGGGGAGAGGGAAGGAAGAAGAAGAGCACTGTATTAATGGAAATTGCAATTTCAAACCTCCATACTCATGCATCTGGTTATGCTAAATCTGCTCTGATCTTCAGCATAGCATCATAGAATCATTATAGTTGGAAAAAACCTTCCAGATCATCAAGTCCAATTGTAAACCCATCACCACCATGTCTGCTAATCCATGTCTATCTGTCCATGAAGTTTATCAGAAGCCCATCTTTGGGTCACAACTTACCAGGAGTATGTACCAYATAAACTCAGCCTCTGTCTTGAGGTTTTGAACCACATCAGGAAAGGAATTCGCTGTCTCACAAGTCCAACCCAGTGCTCCAATTACRGTACTGGAGCTGGGCATAGCTCCACTTCAGATCGTGCCATCATTGTGTTGTCCACAAAAATGTTATATCAATGTTGCAACTGATGTCAAAAAGAGACACCAACTTATAGTGTTTCCTTGAAAGCCCTGAACTTGTCTGCCTTAAGAGTAGGTTGTACATATAGGGAATTTGATTGGGCTTTTATATATGTGTCTGTGGGTGTGTTGAACTACAGTGCTTTGCAAGCAACAAAATGGATGCCTCTGTATGCTACAGAAGTTCTCTCAGTCATTCCAACAAAGAACAAAGCAAGGCCTCTACCCCTTATTCTATTCCATCCTTGCTTAATTTCCTAATTCTGAGAGTCTGACAGGGAAACTGAACCAACAGGTTAAGTTCAATATTTTTCTACTCATTGTTACAGACCTTAAATAATCAGATAAATAAAAAGGAAATATAAATACTTCTACTAACTTCAAGAAGATAAATACTGGAAGAGAAAGAAACTAACAAGCCCATGGCAAAATCTCTCWAGGCTGAGCGTATCAACTGTATCCTGACAACTGTTCTCACAGAAACAAAGCACAGGTTTGTACAAATTCAGTCCCTCCTTTGGGAGTTTAGGCTGCCATGCAACTTAAAACACCATGAGAACAAACTTATCAACACTTTTTTTGTGTAACTATTATAATAAAATAATCCTTGTCCACTGTGAGAAACAATATGAACTCTGATTGCTACAGCAAGAGCTCAGGATAAGAAAATGCAAGCAGTGAGTAAAGATACTAGTGTAGAGTACAGAGCAGGAATACCCTATTGCCAGGTGCTTTTACTAACTCAAGGAGTTGGAGGATTTTTTTTAAGGGTAGGAAGACAGGGATTATAAAAGGCCACAAGAGAAAAAATAAAAAAGAAGAAATGTAAGAATGGAAACAGATATGGGAGTCACCAGGGACTTACTGAAATATAGAGAAAATATAAAGCCAAGCCAAAAAAAAGTGTTTTAGGATTTTAGGAGCAACTTCACTAGTGAGGAAAATGCAAGTGTGAATCATGGATACGTCAATGGCCAAAAGGCTGTGCCATGATCTKCTGCTTATCCAGGCACTTCACGGAGAAGAGTTGGAGGGGGTAAATCCTCATSAGTGCTCCAGACAGGAAGATGACAGTGGACCAGTTCTTTTGCCCTCACAGGGCAAGATTGAGAGCAGCCATGCACTGAAGATAGGTGAGCCTCCATGATGCAATGGATCAGGGATGGACCACCTGTCCCCTGACTGCAGTAGGGTTGTTCTCCAGAAAAGCTCATGGGCAAAGCAGATCCAGGATTAATTAAATATCATTTGCAAGCTGAGTGACATTTCTCTAGGAAGATGAAACTGTGTACGATGAAAATGCAGGTAGTTTGTTACTGTATTTCAAGGCACCTAGAGGGAATACAGGAAACCTGAAAACTTCATTTTTCTGGGCTTTGAATGAGAGTGAAAATTTAGGTTAGAGGAGTACCTAGTACAGCCAATATTAGAAATTAGACCCTAAATGAAGCAGCTCCACAGCTTGTCTAACAGGGGCTGCAGGATATCTTGCCCTGAACAGCATCACACTCATTTTAGTTATGATCTCAGCTCCAAATTCAAGGCCAGGCTTTTCTAGTCAGCATGGCTCTCAATGAAAAAACACTGCAGTGAGGGGAAAGGGTGGCAGGAAAATGAAGGGGTGGGAATTTTGGAGAAGAGAAGAAGCAAAGCAAGAACTAAAAGTAGGAGGCAGATGGTAGAAAGCTGAGTGAACAGGGAAGTGAGAAGTCGCAAAAGAGGAATAGAGACAAAGGGGACAGTTTACAGCCCAGTCTAGCTGAACTGCATTACTCCACCCTGGTGGAGCACCAACACATACAGCAAAGGTCTCAGGGTTACACAGAATTATTTGGATAATAGCTTAAAGTAGCTTCTGTCAGGCCCAGGGTAATGAGACTACCTGCTGTGGCCATGCCCTTTGCAAAGAAATGAACCTCATGTTCTTCCTCCCTTGGTAATAATAATAATAAAAAGGATTCCCCTGACCCTTCCTCTGTACTGACGYACATGCCTATTGCTCTGCTCCTGCCGTCTTATTCTGGGCTGTGAGATGCAAACTCACAGACCCATCCCCAGCCTTTTCCTCTCCTCCATGAGTGAGCAGAAACTAGTAAAGTTCTGCTCACTAGAGTGAGCAGAAAGTAGAAAAATGGGGAGCATTGGGATGACTCAAATTCTTCTGTGCTTTGGATCTGCACGCTGCATCTGGCATGTATCTCCTCCCTTGCCTTCGTTTCCACATGGGTGCTCTGCAAACCAACGACTCATGGGTCACAGTGCTTCAGAGACGACATTGCCAGGGGCCAAATYTTTTAGAGCAGAACTGTTTCACTAAACAACTCTTTAAACTATAAGCATCTTCCTCAAACTCAGGAAAGGCAACAAGAAATCCTGGATCTCAGCTCCACTGCACATGCAGAAGGGAACAGATGCCAAGAGCACCTCTTGGTGGTATGACAGCAGACAAAAGCAGCAACAGATCTGTATATACATTTTACAGATTATCAGCCTGCAGTTTCCTTCCTTTAGCAGTCTAAAGAAAACCCTTGCATAAGTGGTTTGAGTGTCTCTTCAGAGACATTGGCAGATGAGAGAAGTTTACAGATTCACAGCACAGACCTCTGACTTGTAAGAGAACTGACTGTCAGTAGCATTAGAAGAATTTTATTTTCCAAAGGTAATTTGTCCAGGAGTTTCACAGCTCATTGTTGCCATGCATGACTGATGACTCTTAGAAATGGGCCTTACTGGACACACCTCAACAGCAGTCACTCCTCCATGATCATTTCAGTATC